CCACGTCATCTGTGCCAAACATTAAGGAAATTGCTTCAAAACCATGTGTCTAGGCCATGTGTTCTCGTCATCATTTTAAGCATTTTTAGATCAGAAAGTGGAAAATTGAGAAAGAAATGTCTGCAACAGGGCATCTTTTTAAAAACATTTGAAAGGTCTACCCAGTTAGACATTTAGGAGCAATCTTCTTAGTGCTGTCATGAATAATATTTCTATATATCAGCCTTTAAATTTAAATGCCTGTATTATGCACTTGAATTAAAAACTTCTGTTCCTTTATATGGACAATTTCTAAATATCTGCACAGTATTTAAAATTTTGGAATGGTGTAGCAATAATCTCTTTAGCAACTGCCTTTATTAGAATACTGTATAGCTTGATAATGCACATGTAGGGTTCTTGATGTAAAAAAATGCTGCAGGAATGCGTGCTTCTCAAGCTAAACCCCAAACCTTTTTTCTGTATGTATTAAATTACTGTCCTATCTGAAGAGTTAGGAGAGGGTACCCCTCCCCTTATATTCTAAATGGTTATAAAGGATATTGATTGGTCAGGAGTCCAAAAGTATCTTCATGACTTAGTAGTGATTTGAAACCATGTTGCTCTGGTTTGAGTCCCAGACAATCCACACATCCTATTCCTAGCCTGAATTTCCAGGTGATAGATGTGTTGATCTGTTGGAGCAAGAGTAGCAAAAAATGTATCATGGCTCTGTAAAGTCTAACCAGTTTTATTTGGCATAAGCTTTCAGGGACTGCAGCTCACTTCATCAGATATATTTGATCAGATGCTTCTGAAGAAGTGGGCTGCAGTCCATGAAAGCTTATGTCCAATTCAATTTGTTAAGTAAGGATCTTTATTTCAAGCTATCTTCCAGGAGCATAGTAACTAGGGTTAGTGTTGGACTGAGGCCTGAATTAAAGCCCCTGGTTAACCAAAAGCTTATTGGATGACCAAAGGTCTATCATTCAGCCTAATCTACCTCACAGAAGATATGTGAAGGTTTTAAAATGAGGATGAGACTGCTGATTGAGACTTTCCACGCACAATATAAGGAAACAGGTGAGATACTAAATAATGCACATTACTTGTTTTCTTCTTGTTCTTCGTCTTCTTCTTCTTCTTCATCGTCTTCTTCGTCTTCTTCACCTATGTGTGTGTATAAACACCCAGACACCTATCCATAATGCCAAAGCACTCTGTGGGCAGTTTACAACATAATTATGCTATCCAGTGGTGTACAGTATTTACATTGATTTTCCTATTTTTGTTTATTACTTCTTTTCATATATGGTCCAGGAAGCAATCTTACCTCCATATGGATGGGGTTTTACACTAAAATAATATGGAGAGCGCTGTGAACATCTCTTTTCTATTTTAATTAAGTATCCTTTTTCCTTTTTATCAACCAGGAACTTAGTATGGTTTGTAATTGTTCCTTTTTGTAGTTGTAGAAGCCAGACTTTGCCTTAGGCTGTCTGGATCTGAAAAGACCCAAACCAATTTGTAGGCTTTTATGTATTTGAAACAACCTTGATCAAGAAATTGCCTTTCAAACAGCGTGCTCTTTTATTTTATTATAACATTGCAAGAATAAAATTGCATTCCATTGTAGTTTCTGTAATTCAACATTTGCAAGACCTCCGAATAAATAAGAGGGAAGGAGAAGGGGGCAAAAACAAAGGGAGTAACATAGTAAGATTGGTTGATTATTAACACAAGGAAATGCTATTTAGTCAAGCATGTAGTTGACCTGTTGAAGTCAGTGTACAGTTAGCCAGGTAAAGGAATAAATGTAATTGTTTATATTTGGAAGTGACACTTAGGTTGTAAAAGAAAATATTCAATTTTTGTAAAATTCAGAAATTGAACTTACATTTGTTTTCGTTCAGTCTTTTTTTTTTTAACATACAAACAAGATGCGGAATCAAAGTAATATATATACAGTTCTCTCATGTTGTTAAAGGTATGTGTTTGCTTCAAATCCTTCCCCCCGCTCTATATTTTGGAGCAGAAGGTAGCGGTCCTTGCCAAGGGCAGGATGGCTGACTTGATGGGCCAGTGGCTTGATCCAATATGACATATACAATATTGATGTCTGAAATGGAGAGCAATGTTTGGCTGGCATTTTCTGAAGCTTTGCATTAGGAGGCTGCTATCATATCCTCTGCTGGCCTATCCAGGGCACCTCTAGATGAAATGATGTTTTGGGATGGTTAGTGTCAGGAAGGATTTAGATGATCAATAATACGTTTGGCATGTGGAAGACTGATATTAGTACAGTAGTATTAATGTTCAAACAAAGAAGACAAAGGGCAGTGCCTCAGTGTTCTAAATGTACATAAAGCAAGAAAAAGCAAATGGCTTATTTTTAGCTTAAAATATAACTGTCAGTCAGATCTCATCCTTCAGTGGTTCCTCCAGTCACACCTTTTCTTTGACACCTTTGGCTTAATTTCTCAACAGGGCTGAAAAGATCCCAAGAACGTGTAAATGCATTTGTCCCTAATGTCATCCTTTGAATATTTGAGTGGCCCATGGCTCCGCATGACAAGATCAGCATTTGTAAAAGGGTGCTTTTGAGTCCACTGGAGAGGGCTTTCTTCTGCCTGTCTCCCAGACTTTGGAATGCACTTTTTCCTCCTTGCAATTAGTTGTTAGTCTCACTGCTTTCAAGAAGAAATGTGTCACTTTCACTTTTTAAACTAGTCCGATGCCATTATGTCAGTTGTAATGGCTCTATTATTTTATTCATTTTTAGTTATTTTTTGTGTGTGACTGCCTTGAATTTCGTATGTGTGTAAATGTGGGATAAAAATGTAATACATGAATATAATAATAAATAAATAAAGCCCAAAGTCTCTCGATTAAGCATGTTAGTTCAAATGCCATTGTTGACCACCTTCTGCCTTTTTGAACATTCTAAGGTGCTGCTTTTAGGCCACAGTCTTCTCTTAAGGTGGAGGTAGATCCTCGTTCAATGGCTCAATACATTATTTGTAAGCAGAAGGTCTCAGACTTAATCCTTGGCATCTGCTGTCGAAAGAAAGGAAATCACCACCAGTACAAGGAACCCCATCAGTCTGAGCAGATGGGCGAGCAGATGGGTATTTGCTAGTTGGACGAAATGATGTAAGGGAATTTCATGCACTTCTGTAATTACTTGCCTCTCCTGTACTTGCCATAATTCTTGCTGTCTGCCCCACTGTGTCACACACATTGTGGCAAGGATTGATTGATTAACACAATACAATAACCACCGTTAAAAACCCCATAAGAACAATGCTAAAAAAAATACATAACAGTATTAAAAACCACCATCAGTTTTTTCTATGGAATATTTTTAAAATGTTTTAATTCATTAAAAAAACAACTTATCACTTGAAAGCCTGCTTAAGAAGGAAAGTCTTTGCCTAACAGCAGAAGGAAAGAGGAAAGATGCATTTTCTTGCATCCTCAGAAAATGAAGGAAAATGGAGGTGCTTTGACTGAGAGAAGGGCCTCCTCAAAAGGTCTTAAAACCTCAGGATTGATTTTACTTGTTCACGTTCCGTCTAGAAAGCATGTATGTTGGTGGTGCTGCGATGGTTTGGACCCTTGTAAGAAAGGCAGTTACATGCCAGAAAGTGCTAAGGAAGGCACTCTTTAGAAACAGCTGTATTCTAGGCATAAATCATAAAGTTGATGGGGTGCTAGAGAGGCTTTTTCTGAATCCTCAGAACACTGTCTGTATTACAAAACAATCTGTAGCAATGTGGAAAATTAAGACTGAGAAACCCCTTGGATCATAAAGCATAAGGAAAATTCGTGTTGCTGTGATGTTTCTGGAGTCAAGCAGTCAGTTACACATTTTCAGTATAACAGGCACAGAACGATGATGTTGAATTAAGCGGAGAATTTCTACGACGTTTCATATTCTCTCTGCAACCTACATTTGAACACACAAGCAAGTTCAAACATGTTTATGAATAATCTAGCCCATTTCTTTCCTTTTTTCCTCTTCTTCCTTTTCCATCTTGGACTCTGTAATTAATTCGGATTTTACCTTTAGTTTATTTTTTATGTTTTATGTAAACTGCCCAGAGTAGACATGTTCTAGATGGTGGTATAGAAGTTAAATAAATAAATAAAGTACCCAAGGCAGCTTGCATCATTAAAAGGACAATCTTTTAATGCTAAAAATAGTAAGTATACAAATATTTAAAGAGAATTAAACAAGTATTATTTTTTGGAAACTGTATGTACTAAGCAACATTTTTTCTGTTTATGTTATTGACTGATGTAGAAGCCAAAACTGATTAAGCTTGACTGGTATGGAAATGTTCTTATTTCATTTAGTTATGCACTTCTAGCTAGGCAGTAAAAGATAGTAATGATGGTACCAAGCAAATGAGCAGGGAGGGAGGCAGAAGCTAAGTAATCAGGAGACTGCCAGAGAAAAGCCTGTGTCAGGCTACAGAATCCCAGTACACAAGTGTCCCCTTAACACATTTACTAGGAGCAGCTTCCTTATGGTGTTGTCTAATACAGCTGTGATAGGAATGCTAGAGCTGTGTGCTTAGGACTTTCACATGGATCTTTTGCTCCTGATAAGACATCAGTTGGTTGAGAAAGCCCACATATTCTGTGGACACAGTGGTGGCCCCAGCATACATGCCACAACCACATTCAATAGCAGCACAACTTGGTACTTGTTTGAAGAGACCGTGAAATGAAAGGTACTGCATGCGATTGTGTGAATGGATTTGGGCAGGGATGTGGAATTATTGTCAGAAGTTGCAAGAAAGGGTATTACAATGGCTGTCTAGGCCAGGGGTGTGTGTTTTTGTGTCAGTAGACAGCAGGGAAGCAGTTCAGCTTCCTTAGCAGTTTGAAAGCAGAAGATAGTGCTGCGTTTGATGTGTCATTTACACTAAGAGACAAAGGAAGTTTATGGTTATTCAGAGACTAATGTATGTGCATTGGTGGGTGGTTGTGTTTTCTTTGCCTTTCTGCTACAGAGTTGTCTTCAGTGCCTTTTGAGGAGATCTTGCAGTTGAGAAACCAAGTTGGAACCAAGGCGTATCATCAGATGGCTACTGGGAAGAGATCGTCAAATGTAAAAATACCAGAGAAGAGACAGTGTCCAAGCAAACATAGGTAAAAATTCTTCTCCTGATGATTATCTCTAAAGTAAAAACCATGTCTGCATTGGTCAAATCTGAAATCTTGTGGATCCCTACTGGAAAATAATCGTTTTTGAACTCCACTGGACTTAACCTCTAAGTAAGCTTGCTTAGGAATGAGTGAGTGCAGAGCTTAATAATTGTATCTGGAGGAGAGTTAGAGCAGAAGACTTTCAGTCTGGAAAGGAGGAACCAGCTTAGCTTGCGGTTTGTTTTCCACTTCTTTCCATGAAGATGGGAGACTTTGTGAGGATGGCCCTTTCTCAGCAACTAAGCAACCACCTTGTAGTCTGTCCCACTGGACCATTCCATCTACACCACCCAACTCATTTCTTCCTTCTTTTTGGGATCTTTTCACATGTCCGCTTCTGTTCATAGTTTCTCGCACTTCAGTATGGTTTGTAAATGTCAGTGGTGTTTTGATTAGTTTAGACATTAGAGCAGACAGGAATGCAGGCAGATCACCCTAATTACTCCTCAGTCGCCACCCTGCAGCTCTGGACACTTTCCTTTGTTCATCACGATCTTAAAGCATGGCTTCAATCCATATAAGTGTCATGCCCAAGGTAATATGAGCAGACATTTACTCTTCCATTTCATCAGTTCTCCCTTGTCTGTTTCCTGCTTTCGACTAGAAACATCTCTCCTCTCAGCTGAATTAATATCTTTTGCTGTTCACCTTCTTTCTACCTGAGGCTCTTGCTGGGTTTTCCAGGCAATGAACGCCATAAGCTTCTGAAAATGCCTCTCCTGTTATGGATTACTTATTTCTATTTTTAACTCTTCAAAGCCTTTGAAGAGATGCTTTTGTACAAAGACTCCACTGCAGCTGAAACCAAATCTGGTGGGGTATGTGAATGTTTGCTCATTTCTTTTTTTTAAAGAACCATATTGACCTCAAGGGAGCATTCCCCAAATTCTGCTTTGTTGAGTGCTGCATTCTAGAATGGAATTAGATTCAGGAACAACACAGCATAGCTTGTTGTTTGATTGATTTAAATGAATTGAGTGGGACTTATAAAGTCTTCTACATGCAAGTTGCAACTCACTGTGTTATAGAAGTGAAAGTGAAGAAATATGCAGAGCCTGGCTAGTATGAGAATTCCATTGGGGAGGAGATCTGGAATGCCTAGGCCTGCTCCCACATGACTGTGGTGGATTCCCTGTACTCCTCCACTCCCCTCTGTAGGAAGCAGGATCCTATTTTTTTGTCTTATAATATAGCAGAAGAACAGAGTAGGGAACTGGATTCTTGGCAACAGCAAGAAAATAGTGTCCTTTTACTGTTCCCCAAGGGATGTAAACACAACAGGTTTTGTCATTGGATTTGTCTTTGGATCAGGAACTAGTAGTTCTACCAGTAAGATTTCACATAACTGTTATGACTTCTGTTCATAGTTTCTCACTCTTCAGTATGGTTTGTAAATGTCAGTGGTATTTTGATTAATTTAGATAGTAGAGGAGACAGAAATGCAGGCAGAGCATCCTAATTCCTCCTCAGTCACCTCCCTGCAGCTCTGCACATTTACTGAGTCTTTCAACCTGAAAAGAAGTCCAGTTGCCATGACTCAGCTTCCAGATACTGTAACCTCACGTGGTTATCATGTCATCCATCACAGATAAACTGTTACGACTGTTACGACGGTTCTTTCAGGTGCTGTCTTAAGCTATTTAATAAAGCCCCCCATAAACGCCATCTGACATCTCACTGGCTGTCAGTCAAGAAGTCAAAACGTGCTCATGACAGTTAATCACAACAGTTGACTTCATCCCTCATAACTGTGTTTGTTTCTAAATCTTCATCCTCAGTTCTGCCAGGCTAGGTTTTAACAGAGCCATCTCTTTCTGTTTCTTCCCTTTTTTGTTGTTCTGAGAGATTACAAAACAAAGCTATAATTTGTTCAAAGAGAGAATTGTGTTTTTTAAAGGTACTGCCAAATGGAATAGGGGTATCATATCATCACACTGCTGAAGGATTTATATAATATCTTTAAAATTTTAAAAGTAAACATTGTTGGGGTCCCATCAAGAGAGTGAAAGAGATCAAAAGGATGACATGATGACTCTAGTAGACCAGTATGTTGGAGAAAGAGTGAAGCATTTCCATGTGAGTGTTGATAATATTTCAAAGGCTGGTCTAGAAGTAGGGTTTATGCTGTACGCACATACCTAGTGAGTTAACAGATACAGCACTTTACTCCTTTATGTAGTTCAATTTCAGGCTTCAATCTACAAGTTCTTGTCAGTGATTTGATTAATCATCATCATCTTCTTCTAAGAACTGCAGAGCTGGAAGGAATTTATGGGTCATCAAGTCCACCCTGTCAAGGAGATAGAATGGAGAATTGAACTCCCAACCTCTTGCTCTGCATCCAGATGCCTGAACCACTGAGCTATTGATTAACTAGAATAACAATTTTGAGTAGTCCTTTTGTTAAAGTTGAATTAGTGGAATTCAGTGTGGAATTCAGAAAAAGAAAAAAATACTTTTATATCTTAACTGTATCTCAAACTGATTTTCCAGCCCACAGTGGTAAAATAAATACTCTTCTTTTAAAAAAAATCATTAATCCTAAGTATTAAGTCCTTTGATTCTTTAAGTTTATATATTGTAAACTGTTCACAAGAAATCATGAACAGTTTACAGATACAAATTTGAAAAAAAACAAAAATACAAATGCCAACAAAACTATGTAATTGAAATCCTCAGTTGGCTGGTTCCTCTTTCAACCAATAGCCAGATAAGTGCTTTATGCACTGATCTAAAGGACCCAAACACCTTAAATAACCAGAGAAGCTGAATGGTGGAAGATTCCAGAAGCAAGCTTTGCCTTGCAACGTGGCATAGCATTTGTAAAAAATAAATAAATAAAACCAGAGGATGCCATACTCAAGAAGACACTTGCTCAGACCATGACTCCCCAGGTGTGGCCCATAGACAGGACCACGAGGAGGGGACAGGTGTTCCAATATGTACAGTGAAATAATTGGTTGGTGGGCATTCGAGACCATTTGAAAGATGAAACCTTTCAGATATTATATAACAGTTCAGGAAGTAAAAAACCTAATATAAAGATCATGCTAATCCCCTTAGGGATTTCCGTTTCTGTCTGGAGGGTAGCTTTCTGAAATAGAGAGCATCTTTTATCCATAAACCCTGGATTTACAATTTCTCTTTGCAAAAGTTGTCTTCCATATGCAGTGAGTGACAAAAATATATACAGCAGTTTTGTTCTTCCCCCTCTGTGTTTGTTCTAATGTCTGAATATGGCTAATGATAGTGTTTTATAATAAGATGTAATATTGAAGAGAGGTAGTTAGTAGTAGGTAAAAAAGGCTAAACTAGATACATTATCTGAATGTTTGCTTTGCACCACTTTACTGTAGTACTTAATTAGTTTTGTCTTTTATATGTTGTTTTTCCACTAATAAACCCAAAGCAGTTAAAACAATTAAAAGGCACAAAGAGATTAGAAGGAAAACCCTCCTCCTGTAAGCCAAGAGTGGTATTTGATTTCCTTCAGCCCCTGTTTATCTCTCACTTTTTGTATAGAAAGCATTGTATAACTTTATAAACTAGAGAAAGCACACAAATGCATACTTTGCTAAAGTCTGTACTTGTAGGCTTTCTGCAGTTTATAAACATGGGCTTTCTACATTTATAAACAATACTAAACCATGCTTACATTTTTAAACATCAGATTACAGATTATTCTTTCTAAGAGAGAGGAGTTCTTACATTTTTCTTCAGATAATTAAATAAATCTTGGCATTTGGGGTAGAACTTGGAAGAGTTAACTTTTTTGGTTGTCAGAATCCTCCAGCGAAGAAGTACTTTAAACATGGCTGGGAAGGCATCCCATAAAATGAAGGCACTGCCCCCAGACTCTTCCCCTTGACCTGGCTAGAGAGGAGTTCAAAACAGGACTCTTCTCTTTTGATATTCAGCAATCCAAAAATCTCACAAGGGGGAAGAGTATTTCTTTGAAAATGGAAGGGTAATTCCAATTTTTTCCCAGTGGGCCTAGAAACTGATAGATAATATGGATCTTACCTATTCATCTCAATAATTTCTCATTAATAAACAGTCTTGTCACAGTTTTCAACTATTTTTCAAAGGAAGCCCCAGACACAATACAATGTAGCACCCAATCCTAGAGTTTACCACTGCCTAGATCGGGGTGGTCTAAATATAGCCAGAGTGTTGTATGTAGACTCACAGCTATTTTTTCAGCTTCTGTGCTTCTCTGAGCCCCCCATTCCTATAAGCCTCCAGGGTTCATAACTTTGGGCACAGCTATTTTTTCACCTTTTGGGAACTGATGTGACTCTTGGTAGATGCTAGGTTCCCAGATCCTCTGGCATTGCATACTCTGGTCTAGTGGTTTCCCTATCCTTCAGTGTGTACTTGCAGTTGTTAAATCAAGCCCTGATATTAAAAGCTTCTGAATAATTATGGTATTTCTGTACTGTCTTAATGAAATTCAGCAAGTCAATGTCACCAAATTTAAAAAATACAATAATGTAAGAAAATTAAATAGTGGAGACCAGTCCCAACTCCAGTAGGCGTGCATTCCAGAGGTTGGGGGAACTCTGATTCTAAATATCCGAAGCACCTTGAAGTGGGTCAATTTCAGAATTATGCAGATGTCTTCCCCCATTAGTCTAAGGATTTTCCATCCTAAATATGTGATTTACCTGCCTTTAGATTTTGAGATGGAAATATGCAGCTTGTATTGTAGGAGTCTTAAAATAATCTCTGTTGGGTAATGTTTTAAATAATTATTTATTTTATTTATTCATTTCCCTGCCTTTCTCCTTAGAAAAAAACCAAGGTTGCTTACATGATTAAAATACAGTATGTAAAGCTAGTAACAGTGAGTGTACAATACTGAAAGGATCAAACAAATATAACACTAAAAATGGTAAACAAAGGCAACACCAAAACATATTCAAAGCAGTAAAGTACAGCAGTACATTAAACTAACCCTACTCAGGCATCACTAAGGGAAATGCTTGCAGAGAAAGGCCTCCACCTGCTTACAGAAGGACAGTAATGATGGTGCCAGCCTGGCTTTCTGTGGGTGTCAACGTCTGAGAGCAGCAACAGAGAAGGTCCTCTCCTGTGTCCCCACCAAATGCAACTATGAAGGTGCTATGGGGCTGATAGAAAAGCCTCTCCTGATAATCTTAACACCTGGGCAGGCTCATAAAGGGAGAGGTAGTTCTTGAGATAGCTTGGGACCAAGACATTTAGAGCTTTATGGGTTAGAACCAGCACTTTGATTGTGGCCGGAACTGGATTGGCAGCCAGTGGAGCTGCTGTAACAAGGTGTGATGTGATCTCTGTGACCAGCCCCAGTTAGCAGTTTGGCTGCCACATAATGTAAGCAAAGAAGCATCATTAGTAAACTGTAATATGCAAGTGAAGATTAAGGAGCAGCTTTTCAACAAAAAATCTTTTCTGCAAAATTTGATCATATTATTTTTATATTAAAAAAACTTTAATCCATCACCTTTAGTCAGAGTATTGTAGTTTTAATGAGTTGCAGTTTTTTGCCTCCAATTCTAAGAGGAGCAAAGCCTTCCTAAAAGGTAATGAATGCAGATGGAGAAGGGGCAGCATGATGAAAGACTTAATTAGATGCACATAGTTTGGAAGCCTTTTTTATTAGCCATCTTTTTCCTGTTGTACACATGAAGATACTAATTAATTTGCTTTACAGATTGCAATCACACAGGACAGCCATTCTATCAGAATCCATCTGCACCAATGGAATTAAAATACTTCCTTTAGTTTCTATATTTATTCACTGTCATCTGCATGTTAGCAAAGTAACTGATGAGTATGTGGATGCACTAGAAGCCAAAACAACAGTGTGGTTTATCCCCTTGCGTTCCCACAGATTGGGGGAACCAAACCAATAAAACATAATTTATTGTGGAGCTGATAGTGATGAAACGAGTGGCATGGAGACCAGAGCAATGCTGGCAGAAAACTCAGAGTGGGTCTAATCAGAAGCTGGTTAGAATCAGTTGGAAGGCTGACTCTTTGGGAGGGATGGTAGTAAAATTCTTCTCTGCCACCACTGCCTCTGCACAGAAGTGTCCAGCAGAGCTGTCTCAAGTGTTTAAGGTGTTCAGCGTCACTAGTATGCTGATGACACCCTACTTCATTTCCACCCAAATCCGAACAGCTGTTTTGATTCTTAACAGATGTTTCATGTCAGTAATGGATGGGATGAGGCCAAATAAACTGAAACTTAATTCAGACAAGACTTGGATGTCCAGGTCTTGGTAGTGGCCAAGAATTGCATTTGCACAGTTAAAATTAATGTGCCAGCAGGCATAATAAGCAACTGATAGCCAAGGAAGCATTTTACAGATGGGTTGGTTGGGGTGCCATTCCTTTCATCTTTTTATGTGCTTTTAAATTGCTTTATTCAATAATTTTATTACATAATATGCTTTGTTGTAAGCCGCCTACAGTGGTCGAAATGACTAGATAGGCGGGGTATAAATACAATAAATAAATAAATAAATAAAAATTAATATTGTAATTTTTTGTATTTTGACTGTCTGGACCATTGTCTTTTTAAAATTTTGTAATCTGCCTTGAGTCCCTTATTGAGAGAAAGGCAAGGTATAAATTTAATAAATGGATGGATGAATAGTGGAGAGGGCAAGTTCCATGCAGTAATGTGTAAAACTCTCAGTCCTAATTCTGTTGCATTTCCTTGAATGCATTGTCCTTTCCTTTCTTCCTATCAGATTGTAAGAATTTGTTTTCATTTCTTATTTTTCTCAGTCCATGCATTTTTGCAGGTATTTCCTCATTGACTAAAGTGTGCTTGTACTTTTCAGCGGTACACGTCTTTAACCATTTGGATTATTTTCAGTGTATGCATGAGTTTATTTTTATTTCTCTAAAATGTACCACAAGAGTCTCAATATGCAAAATTCCATGGGAGGTATACTTTTGTCTCACAGTGAGTGCAAAATGAATAGCTGGCTCAAGAATCTTGACTTCATTGACATTGTTTTGCATCCTTAAGTCCAAAAGGAGGCTGCAAAAGGTAAAGACCTCCTGTAGAAAAAATAATTGAAGCTATCTCTCAACTTCTTTCATTCCCCAAACAGAGACTGCTTAGGGCTTTGTCTGCATGCTTGTTAATGTTGGCAGCAGAGAACTATGGATGGGTGTAGATCCCAAGATAGCTGATTAGCCAAGCATCGATCTGAAGAGAAGCAAGTGACTGTTGGTTGCTTTTCTCCAGGTGAACTCTTAGTAGGAGATACAGGATATCTTCCTATTAAGGGAGGAGGAATGGCCCATTAAATTACCTTGTGTGCATTTATTTATTTATAATAGTTTCACCCCTCCTTTCCCCATAAAAGGATCCAAGGTGTCTTACCAATTTTTTAAAAAACATAGCTAAAAACAATAAATTGTTCAAATATTGCTATGCTGTCAACATTTATCATTGTTATGAGATGTGTTTTTCCCACTAATATGACTTATTGGGACCCCTTTCCTCTCTGTAATTCTAAACTCTGTAATTCTTAACATTTCTCTTAGGAGAGTTATCAGTGTGTGTTGCTTAGAGGCCATGTTTTTTTTAAGACCCTAGGAAAACATGGGAACTCAGAAACCATCATTGATGGGCTGAGGTGACTCATTTTTATCCCTCTTCCCCACAACGTACATACAGGGACAAGGAATATATTACATCTGTAGGTGGGCAGGAACAAAAAAGGATAGGTCTTTAAGTGTTGGGATAGTGCTAGTGCTAAAGAAGATACATGGAGAATTGAGTTTCTTTGTGCAAAAATCCTGTGGCATTCATGGTCCTCTAGGAATCTGAGCAGTATTTTGAATAAAGGCAAAGATGGCAAAATGGAAGTAAATCTCCCATGATCTCATTCATGTGACTCTCTCATTTTGTGAGATAGCTCAAGGGAATCAAGCCACCCAATAGCACAAATTTCTTCATCTACACTATCCAAGAGTGTTTTTTGCCCTATCTTACAGGCCTTTGGAAATTTCAGCCAAGATGCCAGTCTCCTTTCTGCGACAAGTAGTCCCGGTTAAAAAGAAGGTAAGTACTCTTGGGTCTGCGAGCAGAGATAGAAAATTGAATAATTTGGAAGAGTAAGATGTGGAAATGTGCTTGGAAGGAAAGAATCAGATAGATGTTGTGTGACGTTGGAGAAGTGGGCTTACTTAGGAAGCTCTGCAGAGTGCAGTGCTGCTGGAGATGAGATGGGGAAAATACCAGGGAGTGTGACTACAATGGTATGGATTCAGTTACTCTTGCTAATAAAAGGTGGGTGCCCTAGATTCCTAGATGGAAGAAGCGGCTTCTGTTGCCACTCAGTTGTTTGTGTTTACTTCCTTTTCATGCTCCACAGGTGCCTCGAGACCCACGCTTCGATGACCTATCTGGGGAATATAAGCCAGAAGTGTTTGAGAAGACCTATGGTTTCTTGAATGACATCAGGAAGAAAGAGAAAGAGGTAATGCTGCAAATAACCTGTTTCTGAGTATCTTGAGTCCCAGGTTTGAAAGCTGTTGTCCCTGGAGAGTGAGTTAGTGCCTTACTCTATCTTCCTGCAGATAGTTCAGAAGCAACTGAAGAAAAGTCGAAATACAGACCAGAAAAATAAGTTGGAACAGCTTCTTAAGCGAATGGTGAGTTGGTAATTAAATTGAATCAGCTTATTTCCCTAGAGTGCTATCCTCTGAAGATGCTGGCCACAGAGAACGGCGAAACGTTAGGAAGAACAGCCTTCAGAACACGGCCAAAGAGCCCGAAAAACCCACAACAACCATTATTTCCCTATCTTTGTGGTGTGGAAGATAGGGAAGCCAAAGATTAGAACAGCCATCAAGCAGAAAGCTTCAGTGAGAGAAATGAGGTGGGAAGGAAGAGAATGTGTAATATTGGTCTGTTCTGGTATGTTTGCAACTTGCCTGTCTTTGCTTCTAAGACACAGCAGGAGGATGCACAGAGGAAATGCGAGAAAGAGAGAGAAAAGGACCTTGCCTTCAAGAGGCAGCAACGGGAATTGGCCAAGCAAGGAAAGAAGCCCTTCTACTTAAAGAAATGTAAGTTGCAGCTGTGGACAGCCAGGCAGCAACTCACTGTTGGGGTTTTGATCATTGCATGTTACCAACATCGCATTAGTTTACATTGTCGGATAGAAGACCTGGGTGGATAACCCTCAGTGGGTACTGACTGGTGCTTTATTGCTTCAACAAAGTAACATATCGGTGTTGGTAGATATTTTCAAATAGGGCAGTCAGTATTTCAGTGAATACATAAATGCCAAAAAAAGAAAAGTACAGTGGTGCCTCACTTAGCGATTGCCTCGTTTAACGATGTATTCGCTTAGTGATGAGGTTTTAGGAGTGATCTTGCGCTCCGTTTAGCGATGTTTCCAATGGGGGAATTTCGCATAGCGATGTTCGGGACCTTGCTTCGCTTAGCGATGACAGTTTAGGTCCTCCTGTTTCACTTAGCGATGTTTTTGACAGCTCTGTTTTCGCTATTTTTAAAAGGTGTTAAATTGTTTTAAAAGGGTTTAGAGTGCTTTAAATTGTTAGGGCACTTAATAAACCCTTCGTTAACCAAATTTGGCTTCGTTCTGACTCTTTTTGAATTTTTGGTGATTTTTTTCTCCCCTGTTGAAATGGGGGAACTGCGTTTCGCTAGCGATGTTTCCTGTGGCAATTTTCACTTAAGGACAGCAATCCGTTCCCATTGGAACGGATTATCCGGTTTTCAATGCATCTCTATGGGAAAACGCATTTCGCTTAGCGATGTTTTCCCATAGCGATGTTTTTTCCGGAACCAATTAAAATGGTTAAGCGAGACACCACTGTAAGACCGTTATGCTTTGCTGTGGGCTGGGGTAATTTTTGTTTGTTTGTGAAGATAGCATTGTTATGTCCTTATTGTTCCACTGAAGTAATAGGTAACAGGTTACTTCATTGTTCGTAAAATCTTGTAGTACTGGACATCAGAGCAGTTGGGTTCCAGGGTCTGCCTTGCTATGACGCTTGAACAGACCAGATGGAAGGATTCATTATAATCAGTCTATGGACCGTTTAGGTAGGGCTTCCTGGAATCCATTCAATAGACTAAGGAGAGCAGTAGCTATGCCTCAGGTTTTCTCAAGTGACTTTGGGCACCCAACAGTCTTGCTTTGACCTTCTTTATTTTCTATATGGTACACTTCTGTAGAGTAAAGGAGTGGTTTCTCTGTACTTGTTTGCTTGCCTGATATTTGGTATCCTGCTACCACCCCATTGAAAGGAGCCTTCCTGTGTTGTTCTTAAAGGATGAAGTTACTATTCACAGTAGGGGACATTGCGAAGTGAAAAGACCTGTCCCTTTAATTTCGGAGCATGCAGTCAAATCTGCTGATATCCCCGGGACCTTTTGTTATGGGACTTTATTGAAAGAGTGCATTAATAGGAGAGAGTGAGGAGTGGGAAAGCAACGGGAAGTGCTCTTGCCATTGTGAACCTTTCTGGCTTGACTAACAACCACCTCTTCTCTTTGTGCTCCGTAGCTGATAAGCAAAAATGGGAACTGGCTGAGAAGTACAAAGAGCTGAAGAAGAGTGGGAAGCTGGAGAGCTTTTTGAGCAAGAAGAGGAAAAGGAATGCAGCGAAGGACAAAAAGAAGCTCCCTTTTAGAAAGAATGTGTAATCGCCGGCTGTAAGAAAAATTCTCTGGCTATGGCAGTTGTACAAGTAACAGTGTGGTGGCTGCAAGTCTGTTGCTCCTAGCAAACTGGCATCTAGTGGTCCAGGTTCCTGTGCTGCCAGACAAGGAGGCTTCCGGTCCATTTAATAGATACAAGTCTGAGCAGGATTATGTTGTGAAGTTCCCAGCCTCACAAAACTCTGGAGCTTTCTGAGGGCTAAGTTCCACTTAGCATTGTTTGGGGATTGCTTTACTCATCCAATTTCTCAGAGCACAGAAAAGTCCTTTTGCTGTGACTGTATCAGCTCCTGACGACTGCAAGCAGTTTCTTAAAAACAAGGAAACAGCCTGCAATCCAGTTAGGATACAAAGATTCTACCTACAGAGTTTCATTATGTGACCGTTTTCATCTGGTGTCGTTAGATAATATGTTTTGCAGCAACATTTTACTGAATGTAAAAAGTAAAATTATTATTTTAAATAAAACCAAACTTCTTTCATCTTTTGTTGAAAAGCAGAGGAGCATTTGAATCCATATGATTATATGCACAAGACTGGTTATTTCATTAGTTTGCAAATGATTCTTCCTGTTCCCTCATGCTTTTTGTTCCTCTCTGTTTTTTAGTATGGAAGCAACTCTTTAATTGGTAATTTTCAGACTGGCTTCATTCCAGACAAGCAGATCACTTTCAGGTTTTTATGTTGTGTTCCAAATTTTGTCAGCACATCAGATAGTTGCTGTGTCCTATTGTTTGGTGGAAAGAACCTTGTATTTTTCTCTGGACATATTCACAAAAATTAGAGTGAGTCACACTAGCGTATATTCATTATTCTTGTTTTTAGCTCTTTGTATAGGTTTCTACATCTTAAATTACTGTTTGCTCCTTTTTAAGCTACCTTACAGTGGTGCCCCGCATAGTGACGATAATCTGTGCCAAAAAAAATCGTCGCTATCCGGATTCGTCGCTGTGCGGGGGGAAAACCGCATAGGAATGCATTAAAACACGTTTAATGCGTTCCTATGGGGGGAAATCTCACCGCTATGTGGAAATCCTCCATCTGGCTGCCATTTTCGCTGCCCAGTAAGCAAGGAAAGGGCGCAAAAACACTGCGGGCGGCCATTTTTTTCCCAGCGGCCATTTTGGAACCACCGATCAGCTGTTTTTAAAACATCGTTATGTAATAATCGGTAAGCGAAACGCTTACCGATCATCGCAAAGCGATGTTTTGCCATATAAAACATCGCAATGCAATCGCATTTGTGATCGCAAAAACCTCATCGCTATGCGAATTCATCGTTAAACGGGGCGCTCGTTAAGCAAGGCACCACTGTATATAAAATTACATCAGTTCATATGACTTCAGGTAGGCTACTAGATTGATGAACAGGATAAAGGACAAAAATGGGAGTGACCTCACAGAAGCAGAAGACATCAAGAAGAGGTGGCAAGAATACACAGAGGAATTACACCAGAAAGATTTGGATATTCTGGATAACCCAGATAGTGTGGTTGCTGACCTTGAGCCAGACATCCTGGCGAGTGAAGTCAAGTGGGCCTTAGAAAGCTTGGCTAACAACAAGGCCAGGGGAGGTGATGGCATTCCAGTCAAACTATTTAAAATCTTCAAAGATAACGCTGTTAAGGTGCTACACTCAATATGCCAGCAAGTTTGGAAAACTCAACAGTGGCCAGAGAATTGGAAAAGATCAGTCTACATCCCAGTCCTAAAGAAGGGCAGTGCCAAAGAATGCTCCAACTACTGTACAATTGCACTCATTTCACACGCTAGCAAGGTTATGCTCAAAATCCTACAAGGTACGCTTCAGCAGTATTTGGACTGAGAACTCCCAGAAGTACAAGCTGGATTCCAAAGGGGCAGAGGAACTAGAGAGCAAATTGCTAACATGTGCTGGATTATGGAGAAAGCCAGAGAGTTCCAGAAAAACATCTGCTTCATTGACTATGCAAGAGCCTTTGACTGTGTGGACCACAGCAAACTATGGCAAGTCCTTAAAGAAATGGGAGTGCCTGACCACCTTATCTATCTCCCGAGAAACCTATACGTAGGACAGGAAGCAACAGTTAGAACTGGATATGGAACAATTGATTGGTTCAAAATTGGGAAAGGAGTACAACAAGGCTGTATATTGTCCCCCAGCTTATTTAACTTATATGCAGAGTATATCCTGCAAAAGGCTGGACTGGAGGAATCCCAAGCTGGAATTAAGATTGCCGGAAGAAATATAACAACCTCAGATATGCAGACAATACCACCCTGATGGCAGAAAGTGAGGAGGAATTAAAGATCCTCTTAATAAGGGTGAAAGAAGAGAGTGCAAAAAATAGTCTGAAGCTCAACATCAAAAAAAGAAGATCATGGCCACTGGTCCCATCACCTCCTGTCAAATAGAGGGGAAGATATGGAGGAAGTGACAGATTTTGCTTTCTTGGGCTCCATGATCACTGCAGATGGCAATAGCAGCCATGAAATTAAAAAACATCCACTTCTTGGGAGGAAAGCGATGAGAAACCTAGACAGCATCTTAAAAAGCTGAGATATCACCTTGCTGACAAAGGTCCGCATAGTCAAAGCTATGGTTTTTCCTGTAGTGATGTATGGAAGTGAGAGCTGGAGCATAAGGAAGGCTGACCGCTGAAGAATTGATGCTTTTGAGCTGTGGTGCTGGAGGAGACTCTGGACTGTAAAGAGAACAGACCTATCCATTTTGAAAGAAATCAATCCTGATTGCTCACTGGAAGGACAGATCCTGAAGCTGAGGCTCCAGTACTTTGGCCGTCTCATGAGAAGAGGAGACTTCCTGGAAAAGACCCTGATGTTGGGAAATGAAAGACAGGAGGGCCTGGTGTGCTCTGGTCCATGGGGTCACAAAGAGTCAGACACGACTAAATGACTAAACAACAACAGGCTACTAGATTATTTTACCAGGCCTCTTTTACTTTACGTCATTTATTCGGCTAGTCTGGGGATGTGAGAAATGAAAATGACATTGGGGAAATCCTGATCTTCATATTGTGGCTTTTAATTTTATTTATTTATTTATTTATTTATTAGATTTCTATCCCGCTCATCTACTCTGGGCAGTTTGGTATTTTAGAGTGGGAAGGGATGGGCAAGATTGTTAATTGGGATATGCTACTGATCTCTGAGCAATTTCCAGTAGATCAGTGATAGCTCATATGCAGATCTCCTGAGGCTGTGTTTCTGGCATTCCCAGGTAAACTTTAAACGTTAGTGGTAAATAATGTTACCAGACTTTGGCAACAAATGCAGAAAATACCATTAAGACAAATCTAAAACTCCTTATGTGTCTTTTTGTGTTCTGCTGTGAAATGTTGGTGGCAAACTGAATAACAGATACCATAAGAAGAAACATTTTCTGATTGTTTTCGTGGCATTTCTCACTATGCTACTGAAATTTGACTGATCAGGGTAGGGGGCAGAATTGTCCCTTAGATCCGATAAAGATGCCTACCCTGCAGGGATTTTTTACTTGATTGACCATGTTTTCAGAAGCACTGTATCTATAATGTAGTTCTGCTTTGTTGATCTGTTGTTTTTCGTCTGACCGTGGCTGGTGGAACATGGGATTCTGGGAGGAAAAAAAAAGACCAGACAAAGTTGTCGTCCTGATCTAATTCATCCTCCTATATGGAGTTCTATTATGCCTTCCTTTTATCTTTTCTTCACCAGGCAAAATGTATCAAGTTCTCTGGAACATTTCCCAATGGCTTTAATCTTCCTTATTCATGTTGCTTGGCCTCACATGGATGGACTCCTGTTTGTCAGTGTCGTTCTTAAAATGTCGTACCCAGAACGGAACATGGTCTGGCCAGTGCAGAACAGAGTGGATTTATGATTATTAACATAAGAACAGACCTGATAGATGAAAGAGAGAGAAAAATCCATTTAGTGCAGCATTCAGCTTCCTGCAGTAGTCAACTGGGTACCTTCAAATGAGGCCCACAAGTGGGGAATTAAGGCAACTGTTCGCTCTGACTGTTATGCATGCTCACCCTGCAGTTATTTAGTGGCATAAGGTCACCGAATGCCGCTTCTCTAACTTTACCAGCTATGACACAAACACTTATCATTCCGTAATGCATATTAAAAATTAGTTTTTAATAGGATTTCCCCCCAAGAGGCCAAATTTTGTGCTCAGTATCCCATACTGTGCTTGTACTGTATAGTCACAGGAGGTGCCAACAGTTTGTTTGTTTGTTTATTTATTTACATTTGTATCCTGCCCTATTAGCAGCAAAGCCATTGCTCTGGGCAGGTAACAGAGCAAGATGAAAGGAACAGAACAACAATAATAAAATTTCACAAAGGCATCATGATAAACATGACAACTTAAAGTAAATAGCATTAAATGACAATAACATTCCAAAAATGTAATAAAAGTCAGCCAGCTGAGAGAGGTACACAGACTTAAAATAGAACTAATCAAAAAGCAAAATTAATCTTAATCAAACAGTTGCTTGTTCTAGTTTTGGAGCACAGGAGGGGATTAAATTGGTTGCTGCTGCTGCTGCTGTTACAGTTATTAACTACATTTCTTAACTGGGTGGATTTGATTTGAATCAATTTTTTAAATAATAATTTAAATAAAACATTGGATTTTTGACCATTTAAATTATTGAAAATCATTTTTAAAATTTAAATCATGATTCAGTTTTGACCATTTAAATTATTGAAAATCATTGTTTAAATTTAAATCATGATTCAATTTGCAATTTAAATTGATTTGCTTTTTTAAAAAATCATTGTTTTTTATCCACCTTGCATCTTAATCAGTTTTTAAAAAATCATTGGTTTTTATCCACCTTGCATCTTAATCAATATTGGAGAGTTGGTTGTGTGCGTTGCACTACATGCAGTTTGATATCTCCACTTTTAGGCAAAGGAGAAGTTTCCAATAAGTACCCAAATGCAGCTTGTACATGAAATTGGTTTTCAACAATTAACAATATAATAACCAGCTATAGATGCTGGTGTTTTGCAGTAGGCATATGTACTGGCTGAGCACAATTCTTATTCTGAATAGTTGTGCTGATTCTTCTGCTAAGCCATAATGATCTGAACACAGAAACGTAATGCAAATGTTCCTGGCCTATTGCTGCCACTTGGTTTATGTAAAATGATTTGATTCATGTATGTGTTCATCCGTAAGTGATTGGTCATCCTCAGTACTGACCATTAAACAAAGGTTTTGTTGCATACATGGAATAATTTAAATGGAGTCGGAAATGCTGACACTCTTCCATGCATTTCTGATTCCTAGTATGAAGTCCATTTCTTGTACCAAAAATGAAAGGTCTACTGGCATGTTAAAGACAGACATAGTTATCTGGCATAAGCTAGTTATGATCATTACCATCATGATCATTATTATTTATGTTCTGTCAAGTCAGTTAGGGATCCGTAAATCACTTCTGAGTATTTTTCCCTAGAAAATCCTGGAAAGATGAATATAAGT